AATCCAATAATGTACGAAGTAAAATGACAAGTATCACTCGCAAGAAAGACACAAAGACAGAAGTCAAGTACTCTACCCTACACATTACCATTTTGTTTAACAGCTTCTTTCTCAAGAATTATGTCTAGTGCCAATTAGAAAGATTTGTAAAGACAGCAGACCCACATGTCTAAGCCTTAATTAGTTCCCACTCTCTTTCTAAGGGCATTAATTGGCTCTACATAGATAAGTGGTCTATCCCTACATAAGTTTGTCTACATATAGTTTTCAGGTCAAATAACAAGTCTTTCGTAAAACTAAATAACTACATCAGTCATCTTGATTATATCACTACTACCCTTACTCAGTTATGAGACCCAACAGGATTAGTGAAAAAGAATAACAGTTTCTATTACCCAACTATACGCTACAATCATCACACACAAGAAAAGGTCACAAATCAGAAAAACAAATATGTAGCAGCAATCATTATTTAAAGATAACTTATTATCATCCACAGCTTAGGATATCACAAAAATATTCACATCAAGTTTAGATATATAGAACCTTCATCATAATCCATAGGAAGCAGAATTTTACAATCAACCACTAATTCAAGCAGCAATTCACTATTTCAAACCTAGTGCTCAGACACACGTGTACCCCGTGATAACCATGATTGTGCACACACAACTTGCGCGACAGCGAGTTGATCAGGCTCACCACCTAGCAAGGGAATGGGCACATCCATACTTAAAACAGTGTACTACCAGTACCATCACACCTCCAAATATCAGGTAATTTTAACCAGTAACCCACTCACAGCTAAGTTCAAACAGCAACAATGCAACGAACATAAACAAATAATCAATATAACCAGGCAACAACAATTCAGAAACCACATAATAACAACAAATATTTCATCAAATAAAGACACCTTGAATCAAAACTTCTCTGATACCAATTAGTGTAACACCCTTCCTTGTGTGCACCCAAGAGAGTTGTTTGCTAAGAGGAATTAAAGTTCGTTCATCATATATTTTAAGCACTGAAAAATCATTTTGATGTTGCTAATTAAAACTTATAATTGAAACCAGTTTCCTTACAAAATCAGAGTGTACTTTCAAAATTTCTTAACTTGCTGAAAATATTAATTTTCCGACAGACGTTGTTGTCTTATAAAATTCGTATCAAATCAAGTTCAAAGATTCAAAAACATATTCCATGTAATCTAGAATAAAATAAAAGTAAGGGGCTTCGCGTGCATATAAAATAAAAGTAAATCGAAGTTTGTTTGCCCCTCGTAACATGACTCGCAAAGTGCTCGCAAAACTGTTTAAAAATCAGCACTTAATAAAACGTCAGAAATTATTTTCGCAAAACGTTTCTAGAAGTTGTTTCCAAAATACTTGCTGATCATAAAAGTCTTGAAACAGCAATAACATCATAACTCAACAGTAATCCAAACTACTCAATTTAATACAATCATCCATCAAATAAACAGCAACAGCAAAAGTCCAAACAGCAGCACATAACAGCAGATATCCATATAATCATGTCTTCATATGCTCTTCCGTCCTCCTGCCATTTTGTAAAAATAGCAGCCCCAAAGGGGTGAGAAAATCCCAGTAGTGTGGCAACAAAACCAATAATGCAACAGTATTAAACTAGGCACAAAATTACAAAATAGTCGCTTCAACATTTATAATTTCTGAACAGCTGCTAACCATTATCATAGTGCGTATATAACGCCATCATTACGCTCATTGCACCGTCGTACGCGTACAAACACAGTGGAGATTCCATAAGTGGCTCCCTCAAAGGTGAATTCCAACTGTGGCCTATACGGACGGAAGCCAAGTGTCCCATACCCTGGTACCGGAAGGGATGCCTAAATGATGCGTGCTCAATCATATGCATATATATGTATATATATATATATATATATATATATATTATATACACTTCGGTTTCCATGTTGGATGCACAATGCTGTATGCCATGAAATGCTTCGCACACACCAAAGAAACATATGGATTATGATGTACATATGCATGACTAGATCATTATCATAATAACATATCTTTCATGTACTTTCAATATAAGGCTGCCACATAACATTTACTTCTCATAGCAGAACTTCCATCAATCTCAAGTTCAAAGGTAGAATCCATTTGACATATAACAAGGCAAAACTTTTAAAGCACATGCGAGCAAAAATTCACAATTCTACACACTAGTTAATAGTCACATTAGGTAATACCGCCTAACACTTACCTTGCGTGCCTCAAAATAATAACCAAACAGCAGCGAAAAATCCACACACTCAAAACGTTCGCACCTATATACAAGCATAACAATCAGAATTTTCTTTACGCAATTCCTATAATTTACCAATAATTCTAGGCTTCTATTTCAAGTGCCTATATCGAACTAAAAATGTTTTTAGTGCTCATTTACATTCTACCTTTAGAGTAATTTAATTCCATGCTAGATCTACCAATATTTCCAAGGTTTACACCATTAGTGGGTTCGGTTTTTAAGACTTCTCCCAAGAGAATAATTTTCTGACTTCATCTCATTTAATTAAATTCATACAGCAACAATATCTAGCATTTTTCCTAGGTTCCCACATGCATATTTATACGGTTTCGCCATGCTTTCATTCTTAACAACATTCTCACTTATAATAGTGTTACCAATGATTAACAACAATTAATTCCAAGGTTCTGATCAAGGCAGAATCGGTTTGCATCAATCAAGGAATTAAAGAGTTATATTCTCATACTCAACTAACTACCTATGGTGCGCTATCATTAGTCTAAAGCCTGTTGTCCATTTTATTTTAATTCATGTCAAGGTCAAGGTATGCTAAGGTACAACTAAACAGCCCCCCAATTCATTATAAGTTCCTTTCTAAGTTTATTTTTCATGCTTTCAAGCTAGGTTCCAGAGATTCACTAAGACAGAATCTAAAAGAGATGAAAATCAATAGAAAGACTACTTCCTAACATGATTCACGACTAGAGTAGAGAAGGGAAGAGGTTCGATTTTGGCTTACCTCTTGCGACACCCAAGAATCACGAGTTGGATAGTGAGTAACTCTTAGCTTCCTAAGCTTCACGAAAAACAGCAAGTTCAACCCTTGTATTTGGTGACTTGAGCGCACAAAGGAGGTGAAGGAAGTGCTTGATTTAGAACCTACGTTCAAGAGGATATCATCATAACCCAACGTTGTAGGAAATACAAAAAAGAAGGACTAGAATCTACCTCCTTGTGTGAATTGCTTCGGCTGAGCAAGGAGAAAAGAATGAAAGCTTGATGATAATGATTCCCTAAGGTCCACGATTTGAAGCAAGAGGGATAGGAAAAATGCAAGATTTTTTCTGGATGATCACTCCTCTCTTGTGTTACGGTTTTGAGAAGGAAAATGAGATGGTACAACTGCGTTTTATTTTCTATTTAACAAACCCAATGCTTCACTCTACTTCTTTCCTATCAGCACTAAGGGTGAGTGAAAGGGAGGTGAAGGCTGATTCAAATTGTTACAATGACCAGGAAAACAGCAAGACTATGCTATTATTTATGCACACCAAGGGGAGAGAAAGAGTGAAAGGATTCTACCCAATTACATCACATGCAAGCTGACCTCTTTATTTGTTATTGGCTGCATGTATTAAAGCTGGATTATATGGCTGATTTTACAAGCAACAACTCCCCTTTTTGGTACAACCTATGCACAAGGGAGAAAGGGATAGGTGCAAAGGCTGACTTGGTTTCCTTTAGATGACTTGCTCAGAATTCCTTTTTCTTTTTGCCTAACCAAGGCACACAAATGGAGAGAAGCAAGATAGGGTTTTCCATTTGTCAATCATGCAAGCAAGAATCAGAATTTTTTTCTAAGCCCTAAGCGTACAAGTGGAAGGGAATAATGATGGCTTTTGCCATATGGTGATTGCTACCCAATGAGGGGTTGTTTTGTTGGATTACTTAGGATAATGTGAGGATAATTAAAGGATTTTGGCTGAACCTAATCACTCCTAAAGGCCTTTGGGCCTTCGGCCATATAAGAATTTGGGCTTCAAACTTGCAAATGCATTAGTGTTACTAACCTAAATCCTAGCCCATAAAATTATAAGTTCCCAAGTCTTTTAAGTCTTTTAATTATTTTTAATTCTTCTTATACGTTATTACTAAATCATTCTTATAATTCTTAACTAACATTCCTTATGTCCAAAATAAATTCTCATCTATTATTATAATTCAATAATTCTCCAACTCAATATTAATTCTATACTAATAGGTATATAATTCGAAGATCAAGCATGAATTACACCTAACTCGAATTTAACATAGTATCCATAATCCTCATAGCAATATATAAATATTTTTCTAATTACGTGGAATGTTACACTTATGGCTTAATACAATGCCATCTTGTACCATGAAATGGTACTTTTCCCAGTTTAAAACCAAGTTAGTTTCCTAACATCTTTTTAAAACCTTAGCTAAGTTAACTAAGCATGAATGAAAGCAGGAACCAAACACAGAAAAATTGTCCATAAAAACCTCTAAAAATTTTTCTACCATATCAGAAAAGATAGAAAGCATACACCTTTGAAAAGTCGCGAGTGCATTGCAGAGGACGAATGGCATCCTTCTGTAGGCAAAGACTCCAAATGGGTAGGTGAAAGCTATTTTCTCCTGATCCTCTGGTGCAACTGGGATTTGGTTGTAGCCGGAATAGCCATCCAAGAAACAATAATAAGCATGACCGGCTAATCTTTCCAGCATTTGATCAATAGATGGCAGAGGAAAATGATCCTTTATGGTGGCATCATTTAATCTTCTGTAGTCCACGAACATCCTCCAGCCAGTAATGGTGCGGGTTGGAATCAACTCATTCTGATCATTTTTCACGACAGTCAATCCTCCTTGCTTCGGAACTGTCTGTACTGGACTTACCCATGCAGTGTCAGAAATTGGGTAAATCATTCCAGCATCCATGAGCTTCATCACTTCCTTGCAGACTACTTCCTTCATTGTTGGGTTTAGTCTCCTCTGGGGCTGTCTCACTGGTTTAACATTGTCCTCCATCAGAATCTTGTGAGTACAGAAGGAAGGGTTGATTCCCTTGAAGTCAGAAATAGACCACCCGATGGCCGTCTTGTGCTCTTTGAGCACTTTCAACAGCTTCTTTTCTTCTGTTGAAGACAAATCTTTACTGATGATGACTGGAAACTGCTCTTCATCTCCCAAGAAGGCATACTTTAGAGTTTTTGGCAACTCTTTTAGTTCTACCTTTGGTGCCAATGGAACTGGATCATATTCTTTCTTTTCTAACACCTCAAAATTCTCGCCCTTCTTGTGGAGCATCTTCATGTGGATCATCAAATTCATCTTCAGTCTCTTGATCATCAAAATTCACTTCTTGGACTACTTCTTCAATCACATCAAGTCTGAAGCAGTCACTGAGGTCAGATGAGTTCGTCATAGCTTTCAACACATTGATTGTGATTTTCTCATCGTTCATTCGTAGCTCAAGCTTTCCTTGTTCAACATCGATCAAAGCGCGAGCTGTGGCCAAGAATGGCCTTCCAAGCAGAAGAGGTATTTCACTCTCTGCTTCCATATCCAACACAATGAAATCAGCAAGGAAGATGAATTTGTCAACTTTGACAAGGACATCCCCTATTATTCCACTGGGTCTCCTTGTTGAACGGTCAGCTAGTTGTAAGGAGACCATGGTTGGCTTCAGTTCAGAAATTCCCAATGCTTTGCATATCGACAGCGGGATCAAGTTGATGCTTGCTCCAAGGTCGCATAATTCCCGGCCAACATTGGTGTTGCCTATCGTAATTGGGATGTTGAAACTTCCCAGATCTTGAAACTTCGGTGGCAACTTCTTCTGAATGATGGCACTACACTCTTCAGTAAGTGCTACTATCTCACAATCCCGCAACTTATGCTTTCTTGACAATAAATCTTTCATGAACTTAGCATAGTTAGGCATGTTAGCAAGAGCTTCAGCAAATGGAATATTAATATGCAATTTTTTAAACATGTCTAAAAACCTGGCATATTGTTGCTTTTGTGCTTGCTGTTTGAGCTTCATAGGATATGGAGGTTTCTCAAAACGAGAATAATCCATCAGTTTTTTTGGAGCTTCAACAGCTTTCTCCTTTGCTTCTTTTTCTTTCTCATGCTCCAGCTCAGATGTTGACTCATCAACTTTCTTATGCTAAACTGATTTTGGCTTTTCTTGTGGAGTGATAACAATTCCACTCCTTATCATAATGGACTTGCATTCTTCCTTTGGATTTACAATTGTATCACTTGGGAACTGTACTTAAGACCTTTCAGCCAACTGCCTAGACAACTGGCCTATCTGACTCTCCAAGTTCCGGATGGAAGCATCCTGGTTCTTGTTGTGGGCTCTTGTCTCAATGATGTGATCATTGGTGGTTTTAGACAGTTGTGCCTTCTCCAATTCAGAAGGCTCTTTTTGTGGCAGAGGAGGAGGTTGAAGATAGTTGTTGGATTTATAATCCAAGTCGGTCCCTTGATTCCTCCTTTGAAAGTTGTTCCCTTGGCCGCCATTCGGATTCCTTTGGTAAGCTTGGGAGTTCTGTGGTGGCCTTGGGTCATACCAGATTCCATTGACTGTAGGGCACTCATTGGTATCATGTGGCTCTGTGCAATACTCACAATCAAAGACATCAACCTTGGATGTTGAGAGCTGCATCTTGTCGAACTTGGCATTCAAACTGGCCAGCTGTTGCGAAATCATTTTTTGCTCTGCTAGTGAGGCGTCAGTGTTCCCCAGTTGTAAAATTCCCTTCTTGGGTTGAGCTGGCTGAACTGTTTGAACTGTTGTCAACGCATTATCGTTCCTTGCCAGATAATCAATGAGTTCCAAGGTCTCCTCTGTTGTCTTCTTTCCGATGGTTCCACCGACAACATTGTTGACAACCATCCTGGTATCCGGTGTCATCCCATTGTAGAAGATTCTGACCTTTTTCTCATCTGAGAAGTCATATTGAGGACATTTTTTGATTAATTCCTGGAATCTCGTCCAAGCTGCACAGAGTGTCTCTCCTGGTTGCTGCATGAAGTTAGTGATTTTGTTCACCAACTTGTTGTATTTTTTTCGAGAAAAATGCTCCACAAAGAACTTAGTGGCTAGATCCTCCCATGTACGGATACTGTTAGGAGCTTGTCGAGTCAGCCATCTGAGGGTTTTTCCGGTCACATCAAAAGGAAACAACCGGAGTCTGATTGCATCATCAGACACTCCACGATGCTTCGTGGTGTCACAGATTCTCAGAAATCTGTCCATGAAGTCGTGAGGATCTTCGTAATCCTCTCCACTAAAAGGGTTCTTCTCCACCAAGTTAATCAGCGACGGATTGATGTCAAAATTATTGGCATCTATCTGTGGCCGGACAACACTGGAGTTCGGCCTTGTGAACATAGGAGCCAGAATGGACTCCATCAACACCGCTGGAGGTGGTGGAGGAGGAGGTAGATCTTCATTATTATTGGCAGCCATCACTGGTGTTATGGATGGCTTGGAACTTGAGGATCCTTCTTGCTTTCTCTGCTTGGCTCATTTTCCGATTCTCCTTTGCAGTTCTCTCGATTTCTGGATCAAACTGTAAAGAGTCTCGAGCTACTTTACCTCGCATAAACTAAAGCAAAAAGGTCAGTAACAAAACAAGATCCAATAAAGAAATTCACAAGTTAAAAATAAATTAGGCGTAGTCAATCCTCGGCAACGGCGCCAAAAACTTGTTGCGTAAAATCGGAAAGTGCACCGATCATACCAAGTAATAAAATAGTGAGTAAGATATCGTCCCACGAGGATTGAGGCACCATATTTAATTTAACTTTTCCTTTCTTATTAGATGAACAAGAATTGGTTTGAAAGTAATGGTGTTTGTAACAATTGTGAACTATTCAATAATTTATGAACAATTCAGAGAGAAATTTGAAGAAATTAAAATCAAAGGTTGAGAGTTGAGAAAATATTGTAAAGAAACTATTGGAGTAAAGGACTCCAACACCTTTCCGATCCCCACCTTGTAATATTGATTAATGTTTATCTTTAATTATCCAATTGACCAAATAATTCACAATCTATAATTAATGAGTTAAGCCCTAATCCCTTAGTGATCTTAACCTTATTAACCCTATTAGAATCCTAATCCCTTAGAAATCCCTTTTCAAGTTAATCTTTAAGCCCAGTGAATTTTCCACGTTTGCAGTTCATATAGCCTATCCCTAGTGCAAACATGAACAGTTATCTTACCATTTGTAAGGAATTAGAATCCCAATATTTCTATTGTAAATCCTAACCCTCGCAATCCTAATAGAGTGATCAATTCTAAAAGAATTAAAGATGAAGAACAGAGTAAAATAAATTCAATTGAAATAATTAACTATAAACTTAACCAAAAATACAAGGGGTTCACATCAAGGGTTGTGACCCTTACCACAATATAAAGAAACTAGCCAGACATATTCATGTCTGCCAAAATAAAATACTCAAAATAATTCATAAAACTAAAATTAACCGGAAAGAATGGAAGAAGAAATCTAGATTCTTCAGGCACCGAAAGCTCGCTCCGATTCCTGTTGCTCACAATTTCTCTGTGCGAAAAGTGTGTTTCTTTCTTAAGGTCTGAGTCTCTATTTTTTTTTTGGTGAAAGGTCTGAGTCTCTATTTATAGAGTCTTTTCCCTGATGGAGAATCTTGATCTAATCTTTTCCGCATCTCACTGTAATCTTGTCTCTGATTTTAAAGATATTTAATTCTAATTTGTCCGCACCTCCCACGCCACTAGCATGGTTACCACGCTGTGAGCGTGGGAGTTTTCCTTCATATTCCTGGAGCACCACGCAACTACGCTGCAAGCGTGGGTTTTTGTGAGAGTCTGGCGCTACTCGCGTGGTTCCCACGCCAGTAGCGTGGTAGCTTCTGCTCATTTTGGACTTCTGGCGCTACTAGCGTGGTTCCCACCCCAGTAGCGTGGATGCTTCTGCCTGAAAGGGCTCCCTTCATGCTATGAGCGTCATACCCACGCTGTGAGCGTGGGCCTTCAGTTTAGCTTTTCCTCTTTAGCTCCAATTTGTCTGTTTTTCCTACGAAACAACACAAAATCAGTATGCAATCTTTGATTAAGATTTTGGCTGATCAACAGTGATTATTGCTCTTTTTCTTAAGATTTAATCAACATTCTTTCTCTTTTTGGCTTAGATTTCCTTATATGCTGAGCGCATATCAGATAATTAAAAAAAATACAGTATTTACAAAATTGAATAAAGAATGATTAAGTCTTACGATATTATATGATTTTGTTGACTTTATTTTAAAAAATATTATAACTAAATAATATTTATATGGAATAAAATTTACTCTCTTATCTTATTTTTTTCTAAATTCTGTAAGATCTATTGGATATATGCAGAAGCGATTTATGACCTAATACATTGGTATATTTACCGAATCATCCCCGTCTCACATTTACCTTTTGACGCGCAGATTTTCGTAGAATCACTTTGTGTGTGATTCCCTTTAAGGAACTGATCTCCTCTGCGTCACAACACAAATTCATATACCGTTCTCTTCTGCATCATAATACGAACAGATTTCTCTAGCACGAACTGATCTCTCTGCTCTATGGTAAACCTTCCAAGCTATCTCTCAAGGGAGAAGAAGAAGTATGTGAGCACCTTTTCAGATCTTAGTTTACCTCTTCGGTTCAATAATGACGTAGGAGGCTGATGACTTAAGTGGTAGTATTTATAAGGATTCCAAGCCCTAAGCTCATTCGGCTCTAAGTTTCTTGAGTTTTTCTTATACTCTTAGCCCATTTGGACTTTAGTAAAAGAGTACAAACTCAATAATTTTCCACTTATTCTTTTAGGTACAAACTTGAGTCTAAAACCCAAGACCACGTAACCCATAACTCATAGCTACACGTTAGCACTACACTTAATATAAAACTTGGTTCTATATTCCAAGCTCTTAAGCACTTGAATAATGTTTGAGATAACATAACTCCTTTCAATTTTGCTTCTTTCTCAGCATCAACTTCTACCCTTGTCCTTGCCAACTCTTCATTCAAAACCTTCTCTGCGCAAGAATATACATGATTTGTAGATTTAATAATTCTATCAAAGTGAATTTGAGTTGGTGACAAAATAAAGAGTTTTAGGATAATTAGTTACACAAACCAGAAACATTTGTTGTTGCCACAGCGAATTCAGAATAACAAAAGGTGACAACAAGCAACAAGGGAACCCAGAAGCACACAAGGGGGCAAAATTTAATTTTTTGTCTTGCATAATATCAGTATTTTTTTATCTATTGACCTCGTAGGAACTCATTTAGGTAATTTCTTACCAAAATATTAACATTTAACAACATTTGAAAGACTAAAAAATGTACTATTGATCGGGTCCAACAGACATAAAAAGCAATTTAAAGCAATAATTAAAAAAAAAGTGTGCCTTAAATAAGACAATGCTTTTAACTACATTTTTTTAAAAAAATAAAATAAAAGACTGCAACCAAGTTACCCTAAAAGTGAATCTTTTAAGTTAGAGCAAACACATATTTTCTATATGAAACCACTACACAAAGAGAAACACAACCATGCAAATGAAAAGAGAGCAAAAGAGCGGCAAAAAGGCCAAAACTTTCATTAAACAAAACATAGCATATGAAAATAAAAAAGAAAATACATAAAAGATTAGCCATAACACACACATTAGGTGAAGTGGAGATAGATTTCAACTTGGATCTCAAACCAAAACTTCCAAAAGAAGCATATTTAACAGTAACAATAATATTATGCTTGGCCTTCAACTGCATTAAATTTTTTTCCAATTTTTTTGGGGGGGGAGGGGGGCGGCCGCCCACCCTAGCCTCCCCCTGTCTCCGCCCTTGATTCTAATTGAGAAAACAATTAGGCCACCCGACGGTTATAATTTTTTTTTTTTATGATTAGGAAACACAAATTAAAGAGCTAGCTTGGGATAATTGATGTCAGCTTGGGATAACCGTGTCGAGTGACTTGAGTCTCACAATTTTTATGGTTATGAAATATGACAAAAAAAACGTGGGCATAAGTCTCACAAACCCTAAATATGAGTTGTTGCCACCGTAAATTTAGTATAAAAAAGCTGACAACAAGCAACAAGGGAAAACAGAAGCACACAAGTGTGCACCGCAGAGTGGAATCCTTTCACATTGATAAAAAAACCTAGGCCACACCAAGGTATGGCAATCAAAGTTCAATGTGAAAATATTTTCTGAAAGCTTGACTTGCGTTATTAAGTCTTAAATAGCTGGCTTGGGATAAATGATAGAGAAATCTTCATTGAAAGTGATAGAGAGGAAGCTCCGTGGAAGTCACATTCGTAAAATTATTGGAATTGTTTACCGTCATCATATTTAGTTTGAAAAGGCCCTCACTATGGTTGCCAGCGTTTGAAATTTGTTCCATTTAGTTTTTCAGGCTTGTCAGCATGCATTGGAACAAAGGCAGTAACATTGGCATTATTTGTACTTACAGTAGCCATTTCTGTTACACAAACAGAATCCAAAATTAATCACACAGATTAATCACACAGTAAGTAAAACATAAACATTATATAAAACGAAAAATAGAATATACTGATCACAGGTTCAAAACACCAAATTGTCTTAAGATTGTTATTGAAGACAATGGGTGATGTTATATCACTAAGAGGTTTGAACCCATGTATAGAACCAGAAGAGATTAAAGATCAGAATCATCACTGTGCAATTATGAAATTTAAAAACAGACTTACTACTTACTAGATGTGTGTGATGAAACAGACAGAATCAGAGGAATAAAAATGCAGAGTCAGAGGAATAAAATTCGAGCCCACAGAATGTGTCTCCTTAAGACAATTTGCCCCCTCACTGATGCCAAAGGTTGATGGACAATTGTCTCCCAGGATATAACGGATTTTGTCTGAAGAGTGGCGGCACTACCAGTCAACAGCCAAAACAAGCACAACAGAATGCCAGAGGAAATTACACCGGAGTATGAAAAGGTACATGCAAACCGAAAGGAGAAAAATTTCGGCAGAGTTTCAGTGCAGGAAAATTCGGTACCATTTTCTGAAAGTGTCAGTGTCTATTTATAGATACTGACCAGTCACGATGAACAGTCGCCGGCGGCGAACCGCCATGTCTGACAGTGGCGAACTGGTGCGACCGGTGACCATTCCGACGAACAGGCACAACCGGTGATCGGTTCAGCGAGCAGACACAACCAGTGACCGGTTCGGTTCAAATTTGCTCAAAATACTGGCGGGTAGAAACGTTTGAGTTTGAAATTTTTGGAGGGAAGCAACAGATACATTTTTGGACAAAATATTAAAAAATTATTTAATAAAAAATTATTTTTACTACACCGAACCGATCTGAGCTGAGCCGAGCGTGTGGTGGACCAAACCCACCTAACTCCTCCCCCTCCATAAAATATATAGTGACCCAAGGGCCAATCTAGGAGAGTGAGGTTGGAGCTTATATACTCTCTCACTTCCTACTATTTGTCCAATGTGGGACTTGTTGAAACCTACATACCTCTTCATCTTCCCTTTTCTCTTTTCTTTGTTAACCCACTCTTATTCATAACCAATGGATCATTGTTCATTAATTCCAACAAAAATCACAATTTTTTTACTCAGAAATAAGTATTAAATACCTAGCTTGGGATAAAGAAAATTGATTTTTCTTAAAAATAAAAATAAAAATAAAAGGAGATAGAAGAGAATTGTGTTCTACGTTTTTAGGGTTTTTATAATAATAAATAAGTTAAACCATATTAATTTACAGTATACTTTGAGTTTTAAAATTTGTTAAAGGATTTGGTAGACAATGATTTGGTACTTTAATTAAACAGATATTTTACACAGAAACATAAAAAAAACAAAAAATTAAATAAATATAAAATTAAGAGAAAAACATAAGAGAGACAAAAACAAAAGAGAAAAAAAAAATAATGAGAGAGAAAAAATAGAATAAAGAAAGAAAATAAAGATGCAAGAACCATTGAAACCTGTGAGGCTGTGACAGAACTGTCTTGGTACGTAGTCCAAAAGAGGAGGACAAAATGCTTGTACTTAAAAGTATTCTTGTATGTAAGGTTTTAGAGAGAGAGAGAGAAAAATGTGTATCATTTTAAAGGATATAAAGTTATGTCATTTTAAGTAATATAAAGAAATAGATTATAGTTTTAAAGATGTAGATCCTACCTTTTTATGAGAATGAAATGACACAATGCATGTTATCTCAAAAAAAAAACTTTTTGAATTATGGATACAAGAATCCAAACTTAATACGTAATTTTCGCATTCAAAGAATATTCTTGAATAATTTATGTTTTCAGTTATTAACTCCTTTTAATGTTTTGGATCTATTTACTTATTTTTTATGGATATTTAAACGTTCATTTTCAAAATTTCAATGCAAAAAAAAAATGATGAAAGGACTACTTTGTTTCGCAATAACAAATATATTGGATTGGAATTAAAAAAAAAAATCAAAATCGAATAAATGATTATATAATCAAACTGAAGGGATTGAATCAAATAATCTTTGTTTAAAAAATAATCCAACGCAGACCACCAATACCCATATACTATGAGTTCACATAATGAACAAATCGTGTTAGTGTTGAGTTTTGAGATGAATAGTTATTCGTATTGTTACTAGAGTGAGAGTATTCATGTTTGTGTGAATAATTTCGACACGACGCGAACACTGCCCATTAACCCAAATTGTTACCCCAACTCTCATTGCAAGGTCTCATGAGAACTTATTCAAATATTTTTATCCTTGGAAGATTAAAAGAAAATAAAATACAGATACAACAAAATAGTATTTTTAACACATTTTAATCATGTATAGTTTCTAATAAAGTGCGACTTTTCTTGCTTACCAAAAAATAAAAAGTGCGACTTTTCTTAATTTATTAGAATTCAGTACACTTTCATTGGTTATTTTAAAAGATTGAAATGTTAGAAAAATGAAAAGGAAAAAAAATATAAAGTAAACAAATAAAATAGTTATCGAATAAAATATAAAAATATAAAAAATTGTGATGTTATAATAATAAAGCGAAAATTTTATATTATATATAGATAAATTGATATACGGATAGGTAGAGGAAATAATGTGTATACGAACAGTCCAATATAATAATCAAACATCAAATATAGTAATTAATTAATGTAGAAGTACATATTGTCTCACACAAAAAAGAAAATATAGACGGTTCTCATGAAAACTTACTCAAATAGGAAACTTAACCAAAGTACACAACAAAAACCAACATAACCAACCTATCAAAAAAAAAAAAAAAACCAACATAACCAAAACTCATTAAAGATCTAGAAAGAGAAAGGATGACTTATTAAAGCATGAGAAACTTTAGGAACTGGAGGAAGAGTCTTGTCGAGATGATGGGCCGGGCCGGTTTTTGGGCCAGAGCTCGTTAGAAGTTATGCAATCCCTAGGCCCATAAAAGACACTCCGTGGAGGGGAGATGATAAAAAATGGTTTAATACGCTCCTTACGAATTATTGGAATCGGATCCTTCAAAAAACGGTTCTTGAATGTTGTTGGTTTGGGATGGAAAACTGCTTCCAATTTTTCTTCTACAAACTTATCAACTTCTAGCATTGTCTTTGCAAACTCTTCATTGAAAACCTTCCCATATGTGTTCACTTCATCCCCTGTACAAGAAATGCAACGCAATGCAAAAGAATACATATATAATTTCTACATTTAAAGCTTCAATCATAGTAAATTGGGAAACGTTAAAAAAACAAAGAGATTAAGGATGAGTCACGCAAACCTGAAACATCAGTTTTTGTCACAGCAAATATAGCATAATAAAATATAACAAGAAGCAACAAGGGTACCCCGAAGCGCACAAGTGCGCGCTGCAGATTAGAAGCCTTTCTCATTGAGGAAACAACTTTGTCACACCAAAGTATGCCAATCACAACTGAAAGGGAAAATATATGAAAACTTGAGTTGCGTTGTTCCAATAAGTCTTAAATAGATAGAGTGGTATATATGAGTTAGGAAGTTGTTATCGTGATTATCAACAAATCTTATCTTCTATTTGAAATAAGGAATTTGCAAAGGGTGTAGCTGCATCTTATCCTTTGTTACGCAGATATTATGGATCTTCTGTTCAAAACAAATGATTTGTATCGAGTTAGTTGAAATTATAATCCAACCCAATTTCATCTTTTTTTCTCTTCCCTATTTGTTACTTGATATTATAATTTAATAATATTACAAAAACAAATAGATAAATAAATATGAAAAGAAAAGAAAATATTATAGTTATCACCATTTCTAGTGTTATCTGTTTGTTTATCGTTGTATTAATTTGAAATCAATGATTAAAAATAATAATAATAATATTGATTATCGTTAATTTCAAATTGATCTAACAATAATCAAACAGCTTACAATAATGATAAGGCTAAAATTTGAGTAGGGATAATTTGGAAAAAAAAATAATATACTTATCCCAAATAAATAAGTTTTTTTTTTTTTTGGTAAATAAATAAATAAGTTTTAAATTGCTTACCCAAAAAAAAAATTAAGTTTTAAATTTATTTGACTCAGTTTCTCGTCTTCTTTACTCGCTCATTCTCTTTTCTCTTTGCCCAGATGACTTAGCTCCTTGGGTTCTTTGGTTAAATGGACCCTTTGATTCCTTCTTCTTTTTTCATAAGCTCTCTGATTCCTTCTTTACTCGGTTATTATTGACGTGAATTAAAAAAGAAATAATTATCTCATGTTGCATGAGATAATTATCTCATGTAACAAAGACAAAATAGTGGAATCTATTTTTATTTTTATTTTTTTTGAAAAAGTAATGGATCTCACTATTTTATCTCTGTTGCACAATAAAATGTAGGTTTGCCTAATAACGATATATGGACATTACATTACATTGAAATGACGTGAATTACATTACATTACATTTTAAGCAATAAATTATATCAAAGGAAAATTCAAAGACAACAAGAAATTATATAATAATGTTACAATAAAATGTAGGTTTGCGCATGGAATACACCTTATATGTCACAACAAATTATATCAAAGGAAATTCAAAGATATTGTTATGGGGTATATAAATGGAAGCATACATATTTGCTTAGCCAGAGACAAATAGAATAAAGAATTATATCATTATGGGAAATAGTATAATGATGTTAACTTGCATATTAGAATATCCCAATCTAGTGTTCCGTGTTTGAAGAGATACATTGTTAAAAGAAGTAAAGGGAAAATGTAACAAATTAATAGTGTGGTGTAAGTGGGCTTCAAGGACATATAGACCTTCCAGTTTATTACCCTTGCCAATGGCCTTCTTGGTGCGCACCTCTCAGAGGCGGACCAACGCTTGTGCTTGTGTCTGCACGTGCAGACACAAAAATTTGAATTTTTTTTTTTATAAAGGGATGGGTGATTTAGATCAAGTAAAATAAAAAATAAAAAATTTAGGAAGATTGATAAAGAAAAAAAGTAAACATAGGCCCAACTATGGTAATTAAAATTGGGATCTTACCTAAAATTGAAAGGAGGATAAAAAATAGTAAAACGTAAAATCCTAACGTAAAAAAATCGTATTAAAAAATCCACGAATACGATCCACCGATACTCCTGCTGCGTGAAGGTACGGGATGCCGGTTATGCTTGTAATTTTGTTGGGGGCTTTTGGGCCCCTTTTTGATTTATCCTGAATATTGTCGGTTTTATTCCGGTTTTAATTTCATTCGTCAAGAATTGCTTTTTCCTTCGCATATGTGGTTTATGATTTGGCGTTTCGCATTTGTTACTTGTTACTCACCATAGATGCATTTATCTAGGTACTTGAATTTGCATAACCCAGTATGTCGTTGTAGAGCCGCTTTTGCTTTTTTCAAAATGCGAGCTCATATTTGCATCATCTAAGTGTATAACTTAGTCTTTTTGGCGTACACGTTAACCCTTGTCCGAGTTTCCCCTCGGTGTACTACACGAGTCTCATAACCCGGTTAGCTTTCCTTTCAAAACCCGGTTAGCTTTCCTTTCAAAACCTGGTTTTTCCAAGTTTTGTAAGAAATCCTCCTAGCCAAGTTGAACTCCAAGTTTACAGGATTCAATTCCGACTTTAATGCATGTATCAAACCCGCGCATTGTACGAGTTTTATACTTGTTTTAATTGGGTATCTTTCGTCGCTTGTTTTCTAAACCCGTGCATCATACGAGTTCTTTATTTATGACCTGGCCGAGGTCAAAGCATTGTACGGATTCCGCTTTATGTCATTTTCGATGACGCATGTTTGATTAACTTACTCGTTTTGGTAAGCCTGTATAAATAATGGATCTCGTCTTTGTGGACTTAACCATTTAATTGAATTTGAACTTCATAATTCAATTTTATCTAAGGTAAAAATAATAATGCCATCTGCCCCTTTTGGTATCGTGACCAAAATGGGAACATTTTGACTTGATCAGAGTCATTACGACAAATTGTATTTGTACCTCGGATTTTGTATTGATACATCAAAAATAGACAAGGATAGATCTTTAAAAAAGTAAAATTCCTCATTTATTGATATCAAATTGCAAACTACATGAATTTACCGGCATATTCGGCTTTAATTAAATCCCTAATATAGGAAAATATAATTGAATAGTACTGCAAATGGGTGAAGGTGGATCCCGGATTTAGCTGTAGTATATTTTCAGCTTATCCGCATTCCAGGTTCTCTTGATTCCTTTGCCTTCTATTGTTTCTAGAACGTAAGCTCCTTTTCCGAGCTTCTCTTTAACCCGATACGGGTCTTCCCAGTTTGCAGCGAGCTTTCCATCTCTGGCATTTTTATTGCCAATATCTGCTGAGTACCAAGTCATTTTTCTCGAAGATTCTTGGTCTCACTTTCTTATTGTACTTTGTCGCTGTTTGTTGTTTAGTCATCATATTCCGGCAGTGAGCTGTAACCCTAGCTTCGTCCACAAGATCTAACTCTTCAGTAAGCATTTTACTGTTTTTTTGTTCGCCTTGTTCAAGACTATTCAGTCTTCTCCAAGAGGGTTCTCCAGCCTCCACTGGAATTATGGTTTCACATCCATACGTTAGTCTGTAAGGGGTTTCCCCTGTTGCAGTTTGGGTACTTGTTCTGTAACCTCAAAGGACAAAGTATAGCTGTTGAACCCAGCTTTCTTCAGCATCAAACATTCGCTTTTTGAGACCGTTCACAATCACTTTGTTGGATGCTTCGGCTTGCCCATTCGATTGTGGGTGTTCTACAGATGTGAAGCGATGTGTGACTTGCAGGTCTTTCATTAGCTGCTGGAATCTCTTATCAGCAAATTGTGTTCCATTATCAGTTACCACCTCAACTGGGATTCCGAATCTGGAAACAATGTTCCGTTCAAAGAACCTTTGCACTCTAGCCGAAGTGATTGTGGTGACTAGTTCTGCTTCTATCCACTTTTTGAAATAATCCACAGCCACAATCAGCCACTTAAGTTGCCCCTCAGCAGCTTTGAAGGGTCCTAGTAAATCCATTCCCCTTTTGGAGAAGGGCCATGGAGCCGAGATGCATTTCAGCTCTTCAGGTGGTGAAAGGATTAACTTGGCATGCTTCTGGAAGCTGTCACATTTCTTGACGTGTTCTTTAGAGTCTGCCCCCATTGTCGGCCAGTAATAACCAGCTCTAAGGGCCTTTCTAGCCAAGGCTTTGCCTCCCATGTGATGGCCGTTGATTCCTTCACGGATCTCGACGAGGGCATATTCTGCTCCTTCCGAGCTTAAAAATTTTAACATGGGGTTGTGCAAACCCTTTCTGAATAGCTGGTCATCCACAATTGTGTATTGTGTCGCATCTCGGACCAGCTTTCTAGCTTCTAGATGATCTTCTGGCAGTGATCCTTTCTCCAGTAATCCACTATGGGTTTCCTCCAGTCATGTGCTGAGGTTATCACCATCACGCAACTCGGCATTGTTACGCTTTGTTGAACCACAGTTCTGTGGTTACCCGGACTTTTGGTGCTTGCTAACTTTGACAAGATATCAGCTCGGTTATTCTCCCCTCGAGGAATGTGTGTAACCCGCACCTCAGCAAAGTCGGCGATCAATTCCTACACTCTACTCAGGTATTTCATCAGCAAAGGACCTTTAGCCTGGTACTTTCCTTCTATCTGCGAAGTTACCAGCTGTGAGTCACTGAAGATTTGAACCTTTCTAGCTCTATGTTCTTTATCCTGCATCAACCCGGCTATTAGAGCTTCATATTCGGCTTGATTATTTGAAGTTGGGAATCCCAAGTTCAAGGAATGTTCAATTATTATTCCTTATGGGCTTTCTAGTATGATTCTAGCTCCACTTCCTTTATTGTTGGAGGATCCATCCACGTAGACCTTCCATGCATCCCCGGATTCCTCTTGTTCCGGGTTTACTGGCGTCAGTTCCATTATGAAGTCGGCCAGAGCTTGTGACTTGATGGCTTTCCGGCTTTCATATGCTATGTCGTATTCACTAAGCTCAATTGCCCAGTTAGTCATTCTTCCTGCCAGGTCTGACTTATGCAACACATGCCGTATAGGCTGATTGGTCCTGACAATTATTTGATGCCCCTGAAAATATGGCGGTAACCTCCTGGCCGTGACCAGCAAAGCAAAAGCCACATTTTCTAACTTTTGATATCTGACCTATGCACCTTATAAAGCTCTACTGACAAAGTAAATCGGCTCTTGGCCTTCATTAGTTTCTTTGATCAGAACAGCACTTATTGCCTCCTCCCCCACAGCCAGATACATTATTAGAATGTCTCCTGGGTCTAGCTTTGAGAGCACTGGTGGAGTTGCTAAGCATTTCTTGACGTTGTCGAACGCGGCTTGGCACACCGGATTTCATCCTTCAATTGCTTCCTTTTTTAATACTTTAAAGAATGGGAGGGCATTTTCAGCAGACTTCGGCAGGAACCGGGTTAGGGCAGC